TCTGCTATTTTGTGTGATTCTGTGCTTCTGGCTGTGTTATTCTGTGTGATTCTGTGCCTCTGATTGTGTCATTCTGTGTGATTCTGTGCTTCTGGCTGTGTAATTCTGTGTGATTCTGTGCTTCTGGCTGTGTGGCTGTGATGCTGTGTGTGGCAAGAAGCCCATCTCTGCCTGGGGGGTGATTCCTGAGCACAGAGCTGCCTGTGGAGCTGTCCTGGGGCCGTTACCTACAGCTGATGAGCTCCAAGAAGAGCGAAACCTGCTAAGCAAGGTCCTGTAGTATTGGCCTGAACCTGGGAGCACCTGCAGGGCACTGCCAGGGGGGCACAGCCAGGGGGGCACAGCCAGGGGGGTGCCAATCTCACCCCCTTTGCTGGGACAGAGCCCTGACAGCAACAGCCCTGGCACAGAGCAGGGGCTCTCCCTGTTCTCTCCCTGTTTTGGGACAGAAAAAAAAAGCTGTCAAACAAGGGGAGCAAGAAAAACGTGAGTTTATTTAAGATGTTTTGGATGGTGGCTGAGTGTAGAATTTCCCCCAGTAATTGTGTGGGATTTCTAAGTTGGCTCTGCTGTTAACTCTGTCAGAGGGTGCTCCTGAGGCCATACAAGTGTTGTACCTGTGAAAGGATGGAGGGAAATGATGACATTTTGGAAGTTTACATCAGACACAATCAGCTGCAGGTTTCTAAGGTACTGCATCATCTTCTGCTTTTAGTTGAACGTTGCTTTTCAATAAGGATTTCCAAATAACTGCACTTCCTGTCCCTGGCAGTGCCAAGGCTGGACATTGGGACATCCTGGGACAGTGGCAGTGTCCCTGCCATGGCAGGGGTGGCACTGGCTGGGCTCTCAGGTCCCTTCCCACCCATCCTGGGATTCTGTACTGGAGTGGTTTCCCCTCCATGTGCCCATGGAATGGGAGCAGCCACCTCAGCAATTCCTGGCTGCCACATCATTCCAGCTCGTGTTGTGTTTCCTGGCACTTTGCTCATGGATTTTGCTGCAATTTTTTAAAAAGCAAGGAACCAGGAAACAAACAAACAAAACCCACGCAAAAAATCCCCACCGAAACCCAAAGCCAGCCTCCCCACCCCTTCAAAGAGCCCAGCCTAACAAACCAAACCAGCTCAGGCCAAGCTGCTTTTTACCCTTCCCTGTTTTGGGAGCAGAGCACTGTAATTTGCATCCCAAACATAGTTGCAGTTCTTGTGGGTTTGGTTCATTCCTGTTTTGAACTAGAGAAAGACTCCCCATCTTCCTTCTTCCCAGCCTCATCACCGAGGGATCCTTCTGTGTCTGATGGTTCAGGGATTAAAAACAGGTTTGTCAATTATTCTCACAGAACCTCCTTTCCAGCACTTTCCCAAATCCCTGGCAGTAATGTGGGAGTTGGGCTCTGCTCCAGGGAACAGGGACAGGACAGGGGGAAATGGCCTCAGGCTGGGCCAGGCTCAGGGTGGATATTGGGAACAATTCCCACCTGGAAAGGGCTGTCCATGCCTGGCACAGGGTGGATATTGGGAACAATTCCCACCTGGAAAGGGCTGTCCATGCCTGGCACAGGGTGGATATTGGGAACAATTCCCACCTGGAAAGGGCTGTCCATGCCTGCACAAGCTGCCCAGGCTGGGGTGGGCTCCCCATCCCTGGAGGGTTTCAAAGCCCTGTGGCTGTGGCACTTGGGGACAGGGGACAGTGTGGCCTGGGCAGTGCTGGGGGTGGTTGTGCTCCATGGGCTCTGAGAGCCTCTCCAACCTGAACAATTCTGTGTTTGCCTTCCTGGATTCTCTCCCCACTCTGCTCAGAACGTGTGCCCTGCCCAGACAGAGCCTCCCCGAGGTATTTCCCCCTGTCAGAAGCAGCAGGGTCAGCTCGTGAGTGCAAAGAGCCTTGGGTGGGTTTGGTGAGCAGCTCCAGGGCTGAGCTGCTCCCCCAGGGAAAAGCACAAACCTTCTTCTGCTTTTGAGGCAGGCAGGAGCCTGGAGGAGAGGCTGAGGCTGCATGGGAGTCCTGGGAGGAGGAGCTGGGAAGGGAATGGAGCCCCAGGAGAGGCTGAGGGAGCTGGGAAGGGGCTCAGCCTGGAGAAAAGGAGGCTCAGGGGGGACCTTGTGGCTCTGCACAACTCCCTGACAGGAGGGGACAGCCAGGGGGGGTCGGGCTCTGCTCCCAGGGAACAGGGACAGGACAAGGGGAAATGGCCTCAGGCTGGGCCTGGCACAGGGTGGATATTGGGAACAATTCCCACCTGGAAAGGGCTGTCCATGCCTGGCACAGGGTGGATATTGGGAACAATTCCCACCTGGAAAGGGCTGTCCATGCCTGGCACAGCTGCCCAGGCTGGGGTGGGCTCCCCATCCCTGGAGGGTTTCAAAGCCCTGTGGCTGTGGCACCTGGGGACAGGGGTCAGTGGTGGCCTGGGCAGAGCTGGGGCTGGCTGGGCTCCATGGGCTCTGAGAGCCTCTCCAACCTGAACAATTCTGTGTTTGCCTTCCTGGATTCTCTCCCCACTCTGCTCAGAACGTGTGCCCTGCCCAGACAGAGCCTCCCCGAGGTATTTCCCCCTGTCAGAAGCAGCAGGGTCAGCTCGTGAGTGCAAAGAGCCTTGGGTGGGTTTGGTGAGCAGCTCCAGGGCTGAGCTGCTCCCCCAGGGAAAAGCACAAACCTTCTTCTGCTTTTGAGGCAGGCAGGAGCCTGGAGGAGAGGCTGAGGCTGCATGGGAGTCCTGGGAGGAGGAGCTGGGGAGGAAATGGAGCCCCAGGAGAGGCTGAGGGAGCTGGGAAGGGAATGGAGCCCCAGGAGAGGCTGAGGGAGCTGGGAAGGGAATGGAGCCCCAGGAGAGGCTGAGGGAGCTGGGAAGGGAATGGAGCCCCAGGAGAGGCTGAGGGAGCTGGGAAGGCCAGGGAACAGGGACAGGACAAGGGGAAATGGCCTCAGGCTGGGCCAGGGCAGGCTCAGGGTGGACACCAGGAGGAATTTCCCCATGGAAAGGGTGCTCAGGCCTTGGCAGGGGCTGACCAGGGAGGTTTGGAGTGCCCATCCCTGCAGGTGTCACCTGGATGTGGCACTCAGGGGACAAGGTGGGGACTGGATGGACTGGGAGGGATTTTCCTACTGAAGGGTTCTGGGACCATGGAGAGAGCAGACCCCTCCTTCAGGTCTCACTTGGACAGAGCAGATCTCATTCAGATCTCACTTGGAGAGAGCAGATCTCATTCAGGTCTCACTTGGAGAGAGCAGATCTCATTCAGGGCTCACTTGGACAGAGCAGATCCCTCCTTGAGGTCTCACTTGGACAGAGCAGATCCCTCATTCCGGTCTCACTTGGAGAGAGCAGATCTCATTCAGGTCTCATTTCAGGGCCAGCTTGCACGAGCTCAGTGCCTCCTTTTCCTTGCGGAGGGCACAGAGGTGGCACTCAGCTCCCCTGGAATGCAGTTGTGTCTGTCTCTGTCACCCTGACCCCTTCATCCGGGCATTGTGTGTGGCAGTGTTGGGTGCTGTGTCCAGGCACAGGGAATGGCCCCTGCAGCTCCCATCCTGGTGCCCTCTGTGCCAGGCTGAGCTGGGGCTGCCCCTGCACCCCTGGCAGTGCCCAGGGCCAGGCTGGGCAGGGCTGGGCACACCCTGGGACATGGCAGGGCTGGCACTGGATGGGCTCTGAGGTCCCTTCCCACCCAAACCATTCCAGGATTCCATGGATGAGGAATCCCTGGGGAAAGAGGTGGGAGCCATGGCCCTGTCAGGTGCTTGGTGGAGAATGAGATGGGATTGGTAGCTCGTGTGCCCAAAACCCCCAACTTCTACAAGTCATTAAAAATGCCATTGAGGCTTTTTCCTGTAAAAAAAATACAGCAAAGACACAGCAGCACATTGGTTCTGGATCTGTGGCTTTCTTGGCTTTCTAAACCATGGAAATACAGTGTATTTTCAGGTCAGAGCCCATTGTTCTCCTTCCTGGGAAGGAAGAAGGCTGAGGGGGTCTGAGCTGTGGGGTTCCAGCAGGAACCTCAGGAAGTGCCAGGCTGTGCCCAGGGACTGCTGCTCAGGGAGGTGTGCCAGTGCCAAGGCACCTGGTGCCACCTGAGGCTGCTGCAGGCTGGGCTGAGCCAGCTGCCTCCTGTAGTCTGCTTAGAACTGTAGGAGATTTGTTTGGGATTTTTTGGGGGGTTAGACGCATAAAACCTATATTTAATGGTTTTTAAGTTGGTGAATTTGGTAACCAAAGAATAATGTAATAACTGGTTGAATTATAAATTAGATTTTACACTGATGCTGAATTAACTTTCCTTTTTTTGCTGCAGTGGACTGAAATTTGGCATCTTTTAGGACTGTATAGTGAAATAAGCCCTGAGAGCTGCTGAACTGTCCCTGTGTCCCCTTACCTTGGGTACAAGCTGCTCCCTGCTCCTGTCACTCTTTTCATGTTTTCCTCTGCACTAAGCTGTTTTTATTTCCAGCTTAATTAGTTTGAAGTTCCCTATTTCCCTGACAAATCCCACGTGACCTCAGGTGTCAGGGCTCAAAGTTAAATGAATTTTAACAAGTTTTGTTTAAAGCCAGCATTCCCCCAAACCCAACATCCCCACAAATCCTTTTCCAAGCTGAAGGATCCTGTGATCCTGCAGGGAAGAGGGGCCCCTAACCTCTGCCAGCCAGGCAAGGGAGTGGGCTGAGCTTGTCCCCCAGAGTCTCCAACTGCAGCATCTCTCCATTTTTTGGCTCAGAACTCAGAGGAATTCTTTATGGGATATTTCTGCATGTATCAATGCAGCTCTGGGCTTTTCAAACTAGAGCCATTGAAATGTTGAATGAATGTTTCCTGTGCTGTGCCCTGCCTTGGAAGGTGGAATGGGATAAGGATGAGAGGTGTCTGTCTGTGTCCTGGAATCCCCAGCCAGAATCAGACTGTTCCCACTGAGGGACAGAATCCTGCTGCTCACAGCGAGCTGCTCTTGTACCACAATTGTGACACAAACAGTGTTTGCCATTTTTGTCTCCAGGATGATTGAGGAGAGTGGGAAGAGGAGGAGGACCATGGCAGAGAAGAGGCAGCTGTTCATGGAGATGAGTAAGTAGGAAATGTGAAGACATGATGTTGTTGATTCTTCACTGAGAGCTTCCCTGGGACAGCTGCAGCAGATCAGCCCCATCCTGTCCCCAAGCAGCTGTTCATGGAGATGAGTAAGTAGGAAATGTGAAGACATGATGTTGTTGATTCTTCACTGAGAGCTTCCCATCAGCCCCATCCTGTCCCCAAACCCCATGCAGGGAGAGCCATCAGGTGCTCCTGGGGGCTGCTCAGGAGGAGAGTGCCCAAGGGGAGTCACAGCTGCCTGGGAAGGTCATTTATCCCTAGGTTTTGGGAAGCTCCTTCCTTAGGGAGTGCTCACATCTCTCATCTGTGCCTAAGGATTGTGGAGAGCTATTTCAATGAATAGTGGCAGCAGACAGATCAGCTTTGGCCTTAAAAAGAGATAAAAAATGGCCCTGCAATGCTGGTGTGAATTGAGACATGGTTTGGGGGCTGATTTGTGCAGGATCCTCCTCTGGAAAAGATGAGTTAAGAGTTGGTGTTTGCATCACATCACATTGTCCTGCTGTCCTGCAGGAGTCAGGGCTGAAGGGAATTCCTGAACTGGGCCAGCATGTCCTGAATTCCAGCTGCACACTGAGGGAGCTCTGACTTCAAACTACATGTTTATACTGCTTTGTTTCCAGAGTAGCATTGTTAGGGAATCATGGAGTGTCTGGGTCCTGCCCTGCAGCACCTGATCCCATCATATCCCATCCCATCCCATCCCATCCCATCCCATGTGCCATGGCTGGGATGTGTGTGAGGAGACACTGGAGTCTTTTCCCAGGTGCTGCAGTGCAGAGGTGTGCAGGGGGAAGCACAGCCCCAGAGCAGCAGTGCAGAGGTGTTCAAAGGGAAGCACAGCCCCAGAGCAGCAGGGCAGAGGAAGCACAGCCCCACAGCAGCAGTGCAGAGGTGCTCAAAGGGAAGCACAGCCCCAGAGCAGCAGGGCAGAGAGAGGTGCTCAGGGGAAGCACAGCCCCACAGCAGCAGTGCAGGGGAAGCACAGCCCCACAGCAGCAGTGCAGAGGGAAGCACAGCCCCACAGCAGCAGGGCAGAGGTGCTCAGGGGAAGCACAGCCCCACAGCTCTGGTTTGTTGCAGGAGCCCAGAACTTCGACGTGATCCGCCTGTCCACGTACAGAACCGCCTGCAAGCTGCGCTTCGTGCAGAAGAGGTGCAACCGTGAGTGCTGCCGGCCTCATCCTCCCCCCTGCTGCATGGCTGCTGCAGAACTGCCCCCCTGGGGTGCAGGGGGAGCGCTGCTCAGCCCTGTTTAACAGAGATCTAACACAATGAATGTGGAATTAGGGAGGCAGCGAGCCTTGCCCACGCTCTGTAATATCTTCATGTTCGTTCTTTAGTGTTCAGGGGATGTGAAGTCTGAGGGAGCTCTGGTGTGTCTTTGCCCTCAGAGCTGGGTGTAGATGGTCTCAAGCTCTGTGAGGGGCTGTTTTCCTCACGGTGAGCCCCAGAGCAGCCCCAGTGAGCACAGGGACAGTCCCTGCCTGCAGCTGTCCCTGCGGGGACACGTGTGACATCAGTGACCGTGGAGAGCTCTGGGCAGTGAAGGTTCTCCCCTTGTCTGCCGTGGGCTCTGACCTTGGACAGCTCCCAGGTGGATCCCAGGTGGATCCCAGGTGGATCCCAGGTGGATCCTAGGTGGATCCCAGGTGAGCAGGATGCACTTTGTGCCCTGCCCCTGCTGAGCTGGACACAGCAAAGAGCCAAGCAGGATAATGTGTGGGAGGAGATCCCTAATCCCAGGGCACAGGAACTGCTGGGGGCTGAGGAGGAGGAGGCCAGCAGGAGGGCTGAGGGGGCAGGAGGAGGAGGAGGGGGTCAGGAGAAGGGCTGAGGAGGAAGAGGAGGCCAGGAGAAGGGCTGAGGAGGAAGAGGAGGCCAGGAGGAGGGCTGAGGAGGAAGAGGAGGCCAGGAGGAGGGCTGAGGAGGAAGAGGAGGCCAGGAGGAGGGCTGAGGAGGAAGAGGAGGCCAGGAGGAGGGCTGAGGAGGAAGAGGAGGCCAGGAGGAGGGCTGAGGAGGAAGAGGAGGCCAGGAGGAGGGCTGAGGAGGAAGAGGAGGCCAGGAGGAGGGCTGAGGAGGAAGAGGAGGCCAGGAGGAGGGCTGAGGAGGAAGAGGAGGCCAGGAGGAGGGCTGAGGAGGAAGAGGAGGCCAGGAGGAGGGCTGAGGAGGAAGAGGAGGCCAGGAGGAGGGCTGAGGAGGAAGAGGAGGCCAGGAGGAGGGCTGAGGAGGAAGAGGAGGCCAGGAGGAGGGCTGAGGAGGAAGAGGAGGCCAGGAGGAGGGCTGAGGAGGAAGAGGAGGCCAGGAGGAGGGCTGAGGAGGAAGAGGAGGCCAGGAGGAGGGCTGAGGAGGAAGAGGAGGCCAGGAGGAGGGCTGAGGAGGAAGAGGAGGCCAGGAGGAGGGCTGAGGAGGAAGAGGAGGCCAGGAGGAGGGCTGAGGAGGAAGAGGAGGCCAGGAGAAGGGCTGAGGAGGAAGAGGAGGGGGCCAGCAGGAGGGCTGAGGAGGCAGAGGAGGCCAGGAGAAGGGCTGAGGAGGAAGAGGAGGCCAGGAGGAGGGCTGAGGAGGCCAGCAGGACGCGTGTCCCTGCTGTGTCCCTGCTGTGTCCCTGGGCTGTGCTGGCCTTACCCCACAGCCCTGCACATGGCGTTAGTTCCTGCCTGTGGTTGCAGGTTTAGGGTTAAAACTCTGCTTTCCAGCACGGGGCACAAAGGAATGCCACAAAGGAATGCCAGCTGCACGGGGCACAAAGGAATGAGAGCTCTGCACGGGGCACAAAGGAATGCCAGCTGAGAGCTCTGCACAGGGCACTGGTGCCCCACAGGAGCCCTTTGGCACCCCTGGGCTGGGCATGGGGCTGCAGCTCTGGGCTCTCTCTGGTCACAGGCTGCTCCAGGGGGTGGCACAGCCCAGTCCTTGAGGGGTTTTTGTGTGAGAAATACAAAACTAGGTCACTGTGAGGAGCTCACACTGTCACTGTGTCCCTGCTCTGGCTGCTCCTCATCCCTGTTCCCTTGGTGGCTGCTGATCCTTAGATGTCTTCTCCACTCTGCTGCAAACCTTAAAAGCTTGGAAACATTTCCCAATATTGTTTCATGTAGTTCTGCAGATCGCTCACTGTGGTTTGGAAAAGGTTTTCTGCACGTTGTTGTCACTCCTTGGAGGCAGCAGGGAAATTTGGGGGAGTGCTTTGCAGCCCCAGACCTGTGTTTATAAAACATGCTCTGGGTTTGGGAGCTGGATCAGCTGGAAACTGTCAGAGTTGAACTGGAACATCAACTCCGAGTCAGCGTGAGGGTGTTTAAAATCACTCAGTTTGGAGTGAACAGTTTGGAGTGGATTTAGAGCATCATCACGTCCCAGAGTGGTTTGGGTTTGGGGAGGGCCCTTAAAGCCCACCCAGTGCCACCCCTGCCATGGCAGGGACACCTCCCAGGGTGTCCCAATGTCCAGCCTGGCCTTGGGCACTGCCAGGGATCCAGGGGCAGTGGGAAGTGTCCCTGCCATGGCAGGGGTGCCACTGGGTGATTTTTAAGGTCCCTTCCCACCCCAGGCATTCCCTGACTCCACGACTGCCCACCCTGCCAGGGAGGAGCTGTGGCTCAGGGGAAGGGCTGAGCTCCTGCAGGAGCAGTTTGTGACAGACCCAGCTGCTGAAGGGAGCAGTAAAAGCCACACCCGGGCCCTGCTGTGTCCCCCGAAGAGCTCAGTCTGTCACTTCGTGCTGCTCCTGTCCCCAGGCAGTGCCATCAGTGGGCGTGCATGCCCGGCAGGGCAGAAGTGAATGGTTTTCCCTTTGTTTTTCAGTTCACCTCGTTGATATCTGGAACATGATCGAAGCCTTCCGAGACAACGGCCTTAACACCTTGGAGCACAGCACGGAGATCAACGTGTCCCGCCTGGAAACCATCATCTCCTCCATCTACTACCAGCTGAACAAGCGCCTGCCCTCCACCCACCAGATCAGCGTGGAGCAGTCCATCAGCCTGCTGCTCAACTTCATCCTAGCAGCCTATGACAGGCCAGTGCTGCCTGCTGCCTGCCCCAGCAGCAGCAGGGTGCCAGGGGTGCCCCTGAGGGGTGGGCACTGCTGGGAGAGCCCTGAGCTGAGCTGGGCACTGCTAGGAGCTCTGAGCTGAGCTGGGCACTGCTGGGAGAGCTCTGAGCTGAGCTGGGCACTGCTGGGAGAGCCCTGAGCTGAGCTGGGCACTGCTGGGAGAGCCCTGAGCTGAGCTGGGCACTGCTGGGAGAGCCCTGAGCTGAGCTGGGCACTGCTGGGAGAGCCCTGAGCTGAGCTGGGCACTGCTGGGAGAGCCCTGAGCTGAGCTGGGCACTGCTGGGAGAGCCCTGAGCTGAGCTGGGCACTGCTGGGAGAGCCCTGAGCTGAGCTGGGCACTGCTGGGAGAGCCCTGAGCTGAGCTGGGCACTGCTGGGAGAGCCCTGAGCTGAGCTGGGCACTGCTGGGAGAGCCCTGAGCTGAGCTGGGCACTGCTGGGAGAGCCCTGAGCTGAGCTGGGCACTGCTGGGAGAGCCCTGAGCTGAGCTGGGCACTGCTGGGAGAGCCCTGAGCTGAGCTGGGCACTGCTGGGAGAGCCCTGAGCTGAGCTGGGCACTGCTGGGAGAGCCCTGAGCTGAGCTGGGCACTGCTGGGAGAGCCCTGAGCTGAGCTGGGCACTGCTGGGAGAGCCCTGAGCTGAGCTGGGCACTGCTGGGAGAGCCCTGAGCTGAGCTGGGCACTGCTGGGAGAGCCCTGAGCTGAGCTGGGCACTGCTGGGAGAGCCCTGAGCTGAGCTGGGCACTGCTGGGAGAGCCCTGAGCTGAGCTGGGCACTGCTGGGAGAGCCCTGAGCTGAGCTGGGCACTGCTGGGAGAGCCCTGAGCTGAGCTGGGCACTGCTGGGAGAGCCCTGAGCTGAGCTGGGCACTGCTGGGAGCTCTGAGCTGAGCTGGGCACTGCTGGGAGAGCCCTGAGCTGAGCTGGGCACTGCTGGGAGAGCTCTGAGCTGAGCTGGGCACTGCTGGGAGAGCCCTGAGCTGAGCTGGGCACTGCTGGGAGAGCCCTGAGCTGAGCTGGGCCTGGGCTCACACTCTGCTGGGGCTTAGCAGCCCTTGGGAAGTGAATGTGTTTTGTTGAATCTTGCCCAAAAGACCCTTTTTTAACTCAGCCTTGTCAGTTTGCAGCCCCCTCCAGCGGGCTGTGACCCCATAAATCTGATTCTCATTTCTTGCCCAGGGTTCTGTCCTGGCATCTCCTCGTGCCCAGTTTTGTGTTTCTCTCACTTCCTCTCCCTGCAGGGTTTGCTCTGCTGGGCCTGAGTTGCTGAGCCCCTCTGTGTTCTCTGAGCAGCAGCTGCAGCTCCTTTGCTGTGCTAGGCATTTCTTACTTTTGGTCTTGCCTTTCTCCAAATCAGCTTTTTTTTCCAGTGGGATCTGGCTTCTGCTTCTGCCCCACAGAGGGGATTTACCCAGGGCAGTGCCCAGCACTGAGTGTGCCAAAATTCCTGGTGGGACAACTTCTTACTGCCACCAGACAGAAGCTGGGTGTGTCCCTGAGAGAGTCCAGGCCTGAGCACAGTCCCTGCCTCACTGAGGACAAATAAAACCAGCACGAAGCTCAGAGCAGCAGAGTTGCTGTTCAGTCCTGCTTTGAAGTTAGTTAGGACAAGTTGTAAGGCTTGGCTGAAGGTCTGGTTACTCTCAGACAGCTCACACTGAATTTAAACCCAGGATTTAAACCCAGGAGTGGTCACGTTTGGAGGAGCTGCCTCAGAGGATGGAGGCTTTGTTTAGAGGTGGGGTTTTGTTCTCCTCTTTCGCCCAGCCCTGAGAGCTCTGCCTTGTCTGGACCCCCAGCAGCAGCAGCTGGATCCCAGGGTGGGAAAACAGCTGGATCCCAGGGTGGGACAGCAGCGACACAGTCTCAGCTATGTCAGGGAAGGGGTAGGTTGGATATTAGGAAAAAAGAATCCACTGAAAGAATAATAAAGCACTGGAATGCTCTTCCCAGGGAGGTGGTGGAATCAGCATCTCTGGGTGTGTTTAAAAAAGGCTGGACCTGGCACTTGGTGCTACAGTCCAGATTCTGAGTTCAGGTGTTGGGGCACAGGTTGGACTCGATGGTTTTAGAGGTCTCTTGCAACCTCATGAGTCTGTGATTCTGTGCACCCAGTCCCCAGTTCTGCTTCCAGTCCTGTGACCATTCCTGGCTTTAAATCTCCTCTTACAGGGGATTCAAAATCATACAGAAGGTTTTGCCCTTTTTCCTCCTGATGGAATTCAGGTGCAATGGCACAGGGGCTTGGGCAAGCTCCTCAGAAGCTGCTCCAGGAAAGAGTTTGGGGTTTGGGTGATTATAAACAGTGTCAGGGGGCAGGCCAAGTGTCTGGGGGCACCAGGAGAGATCTTTCCAAGCACAGGCTGTGTCCTGGGAGGGGGCACTGATGGCTTTGGGCACTGCTTTTTCTGGGAACTAATCCCAAGCTGAACTTTGATGTAAAATACATGTCTGCTAAAGAGTGGAAGGGAGGGGGCTGAGGCTGTGACTTAGGGAGGAGGGAATTTCCAGGAGAGCTTTGCCCTGGGCTGATCCCCCAGTGTGGGAGGGAAAACAGCTGGATCCCAGGGTGGGCAGGAGCTGGATCCCAGTGTGGGAAAACAGCTGGATCCCAGTGTGGAAAAACAGCTGGATCCCAGGGTGGGAAAACAGCTGGATCCCAGTGTGGGGCAGCAGCAGCTGGATCCCAGTGTGGGACAGCAGCTGGATCCTCGCATGGAGCAGCAGCAGCTGGATCCCAGGGTGGGACAGGAGCTGCTCTGTGCCTCACTGTGCCTGGGCAGGGCTCAGGCAGAGCAGGGCAGGGCCCAGGCAGAGCAGGGCTGAGGCAGAGCAGGGCAGGGCCCAGGCAGAGCAGGGCTCAGGCAGAGCAGGGCAGGGCCCAGGCAGAGCAGGGCTGAGGCAGAGCAGGGCAGGGATGAAGCAGGGCAGGGATGAGGCAGAGCAGAGCAGGGCTCAGGCAGAGCAGAGCTGGGATGAAGCAGGGCAGGGATGAGGCAGAGCAGAGCAGGGATGAGGCAGAGCAGGGCAGGGCTCAGGCAGAGCAGGGATGAGGCAGGGCTGAGGCAGGGCAGGGCTGAGGCTCCCTCTCCAGGAGCTCAGCAGCACGGCAGGCAGGGATTGTATAAAAATGCCCATCCCTGCTGGAGTGCTCAGAGTCACAGAGTCCTCACAGAGGGTGCTGGTGGCACCATCAGAACCTTTAACATTCCCCTTGGCAGGTACAGTCCCAGAGTCCTGGAGTGGTTTGGGTGGGAAGGGACTGTACCAGTCATCCAGTGCCACCCCTGCCATGGCAGGGACACTGCCACTGTCCCAGGTGCTCCCAGCCCCATCCAGCCTGGCCTTGGGCACTGCCAGGGATCCAGGGGCAGCCCCAGCTGCTCTGGGCAATGCCTAGGGTGCCCTTCCTGGGGATTCTGCCTGGCTGGGTGCCCTGAGGAGGAATTTGGGTTCTGGCACAGCTGGAATGCAGCTGTGGCACAGCTGGGGTGCTGCAGTGGGCCCTGGCAGGGCCAGCAGGGCAGGGGCAGTTGCCTGGGCTGGGTGAGGAGCTGGGGTTGGCATCAGTGGCAGATCCAGTGGACATCCCTGCTGTGGGACCTGCTGCAGAGCCAGGCTTGGGAGCATGGGGAGGGTGAGGAAGGAGCCTCACAGGCCTGGCCTGACTTAAAACTGCGTCCAGTTCTGGCCCCTCAGTTTAGGAAGGATGTTGAGATGCTTGAATGTGCTGGAGGTGGCACTGGATGAGCTTTTAGGTCCCTTCCCACCCAAACCATTCTGGGTCCTGCTCCTCCAGACCCTTGTCCAAAGCCCCTCTCAGCTCTCTCTCTCTCCCCCCTTCAGGGGATTCCTGCTTTTCCAGCTCTCCCCACGCTCATCCTGGGCTTTCCCCATCTCTGCATTTAACATGCCAGTCCAAATTCCCTGGCCAGCACGTTTAGTTACAGCTCCTTGAAATGCTGGGAGTTACTGGAGGTGGTGGCTGCTGTTGTTCCCATGGTTTCTGGGGCTCTGGGTGTTGTTATTCCCATGGTTTCTGGGGTGGCTGTTGTTATTCCCATGGTTTCTGGGGTGGCTGTTGTTATTCCCGTGGTTTCTGGGGCTCTGGCTGTTGTTGTTCCCATGGTTTCTGGGCTCTGGGTGTTGTTGTTCCCATGGTTTCTGGGGCTCTGGGTGGCCCATCGTTTCTTGGGGGCTGGCTGTTGTTATTCCCATGGTTTCTGGGGCTCTGGGTGGTTGTTCCCATGGTTTCTGGGGCTCTGGGTGTTGTTGTTCCCGTGGTTTCTGGGGCTCTGGCTGTTGTTATTCCCGTGGTTTCTGGGGCTCTGGCTGTTGTTATTCCCGTGGTTTCTGGGGCTCTGGCTGTTGTTATTCCCGTGGTTTCTGGGGCTCTGGCTGTTGTTATTCCCGTGGTTTCTGGGGCTCTGGCTGTTGTTATTCCCGTGGTTTCTGGGGCTCTGGGTGGTTGTTCCCGTGGTTTCTGGGGCTCTGGGGGTTGTTCCCGTGGTTTCTGGGGCTCTGGGTGGTTGTTCCCATGGTTTCTGGGGCTCTGGGTGGTTGTTCCCATGGTTTCTGGGGCTCTGGCTGTTGTTGTTCCCATGGTTTCTGGGGCTCTGGGGGGTTGTTCCCATGGTTTCTGGGGCTCTGGCTGTTGTTATTCCCATGGTTTCTGGGGCTCTGGGTGTTGTTATTCCCGTGGTTTCTGGGGTGGCTGTTGTTGTTCCCATGGTTTCTGGGGCTCTGGCTGTTGTTGTTCCCGTGGTTTCTGGGGCTCTGGGTGTTGTTCCCGTGGTTTCTGGGGCTCTGGGTGTTATTCCCATGGTTTCTGGGGCTCTGGGGGTGCTGCTCCATGCCTGTGCAGCTCTCACAGGTGCCTTTCCCTGCAGTGAGGGCCATGGGAAGCTGACAGTGTTCTCAGTGAAAGCCATGCTGGCCACCATGTGTGGGGGGAAGATCCTGGACAAGCTCAGATGTGAGTACCCCGAGGAGTCCCGGCCTTTATGGACTCTTTCCTTTCCTCTGTTTCTCGTTTTCAGTTCTGAAGGGTTTTATTTTGCTGATTTTGTGGTCTTTCTGCTGAGCTGGAGCTGTGCTGTGCAGAATTCCAGAGTCATTCAGCTGGCACAATCCCTCCCAGCCCACCGAGTCCAGGCTGTGCCCAGTCCCCACCTTGTCCCCAGAGCACTGGGTGCCACATCCAGACCTCCTGGGACACCTCCAGGGATGTTTGTTCCATGGTCCAGCTCCTGGTTATCCCAGGACTGAGGAGCCTTCCCAAGCCCATTCCTTCAGTTTAAGCTCTTGGGCACTTTAAATGGAGAACCTGAGGGCTGCTTTTCCAATGGGAATGTCCCAGTTGTCACCATTTCCCTGCTCTGAGGCTGTTGGAGGCTCCTGTGACTCTCCTGCTTCCCCTGAGGCTCTCTGCACCTTCTCACTCTGTAATTCCAGCTGCTGGGGTAGAATCCCAGGATGGTTTGGGTTGGAAGGGACCTGGGACACTTGCCACTGCCCAGGCTGCTGCCAGCCCTGTCCCTTGCCCTGAGCCCTGCTGCCCCCGGGGCTCTGAGCAGCTCTGGGGTGATGGAACTGACCCACACCCCAAACCCCACATCCTGCTGGACGAGCACACAGAGCAGCATTCCTCCAGCTGGACACAAATCTGCTGCTGGAAGAGTTCTGGAAAACCCTGAGCAGGATGGGGAGCTGCAAACAGCTGCTCCTTCCTTCCCCTGTGGTGGGTGTGAAACCCCCTCAGCCCCTGGCTGCTCCTGGAGCCACTTCCAGAGCAGGCACATCCACCAGGGCTCTCAGAGGGAATGCTCCTGCCCAGCCATCTGCTCTGGGGAGGAGCAGCCTGCCTAAAAATGCTTAAAAAGTCTTAAAAACGGGATTGGGCAAATCTGGTCCCTAGGGACAAGGTGGGAAAGATTCTGACTGGATTTGGAAGGAATTGTTTTGTGTGTGGTTATAATTAGAAATCTCCACATGGCAAAAGCAGTCTTGCTGTTGGATGTTGGTTATCATGGCCTGTAGGTTCTTTGGATTTTGTTTGCTTTATGAACTCTTTTCTTTAAACAGCACTTGAGCCTTGCAGCAGTTTGGCAGTGGCATGTTTAACTCTTGGTCTGGATTTCTTCTGAGCATTGTGATTCTGCTGCTTGGCTTTCCCCTTCTCCTTCCTGTTGGTTTTCTCAGCTTTTACAGAGACAGGGCACCTGAGAGGTGTTTTAAAAGATTTCATTCTATTATCAGTCTTGGTGAATAGTGAGACACAAGAGATGTAAACCTCAATGCCATTCCATCAGAAGCCAATCCATTTCTTTGTTACAATACCTTAGAAATGTTTTTTAGCTTATTAGCTTTAGCCACACAGTGCTGCTATTACTTCTAACACCAATCACCTCTGTTTTTTCTCCACATTGTCTTGCTGCAATGTATCTTTCACAGTTCTAATTCTACAAAATATCTGGCCTTGTTTTGTTCTTTACAAATCCCTTTCCCACATCTCTCCCTGATTACTGACCCACTTCACCCCCAAAACCTCCTTGTCCAGAAGATCCCAGCCCAGCCTCCCTTCCCTGAGCAGGCTCCTGCAGATCCTGCCAGTTGTGTTTAGTGTGTTCTCATCCCATGGTCCCTGTGAGTGATGGGGACAGGACAGTGTCCTGGGAATGGCACAGAGGGACTGGGGGAGCTTCAGAGGGGCCCTTCCCTGGCTCTGGAATTTTCTGGGACGTGCTCTCCTTGTGGGGCTGTGCAAGGCAGGGATCCCAGGATCCCTGAGGATGGAAATCCCTCCCAGCCCATGCAGTCCCAGCTGTGCCCAGTGCCCACCTTGTCCCCAGAGCCCTGAGTGCCACCTCCAGCCCTTCCTGGGGCACCTCCAGGGATGGGCACTCCCTGCCTCCAGGGTCTGAGCACCTTTTCCAAGGCAAAATTCCTCCTGATGTCCAGCCTGAGGCTGCTCCCTCTCATCCTGTCACCAGCTGCCCTTTGAAAGGTTATGATGCTTTTTTATTTATTCATTTTTATTTATTATATCCTGCTTTTTATCATTTCCAATTTCACTGCCAATTCCCCGTGTGGAAGTTTCCCACCTTGACAATAAACCCACTTTTTAACCTGCAAGGCAGGTTTTGAATTTCCCCTTGGCACAGCCTGGGCTGTTCTCTCTCATTTTCAGATTTCCATAGCTTGGATTTCTCTCTCTTCAGGATCACTTCACTGCTGCTGCCTGCTCAGCTCAGGTGAATGTCCTGAGCACACCCAGGAGGTTTCAGCCCATTTTAAATGCAATTGTGTCGTGGCCCTGCTGTGTCCTACCCTTCCCACCCTGCCAGGTTCATTGCAGACCTGCAGCTCCTGTGCAGAGGATTCTGCTCCAGAATGGACTAGGATTCTGGAATTTTGGCTCTCTAATTTCAGTTGTTCCCATTGTTTTCATTTGGTGTGCATTTTCATCCTGACTTTTCTTCCACATTCAGTTTCTAGGTTAAGTCTAATTTTTCTGGCTGGCTTTTTTTCCTAAAATACACAAATGCAGCATTTTAAATATTTTTAAAATTTTTCTCCTAATATGTTTTCTTTTATAACATTATTCAAGAGACCTTCAGTTCAAGCTGCTCTGTTCAGTCAGTGATACAGATTCCAGGTATCTTCATCCCTCTTAACTAAGGCATTGCAGGCTTCTTCCTGAGCTCATTCTTTCAGGAAATTGGGATAATTCCTCCAGTTTACTGGAAATGTGCCTCTCTGAAAGTGTCTTTTTTTCTGAAGCTGGTTTTGATCACTGAAATGAAGGTTGTTTTCTGCCAGCATGAGCTTTTTGATGTTTAATTACTGCAGGTGCCTGAAATAACAGCAGGGAGGGTTCGGTGCCACGGAGGAGCTCTGGGATCTGTCACACCCTGGGGAATTCTAGGTTGTGTTCCCATGGGTGAAACCCCCTGTGGAGCATGCCTGACTCTGGGTGTGCCTCAGCTGGCTGTGTGAGATCTCTCCAAGGAGACTCTGGGTCCCAGGACAGTTCTGTTTGCTGGGATTTTGTCCTGCTCTCGTGCTCTCTGCATCCTGCCCCTGGGGCTGGAGCTCTGGGGAGGGGGTCAGGGACCCCAGGGCTCAGGGAGGAGCAGGACAGGCAGTGGGGCACCTGCAGCACCTCCCTCTTCTCTCTCCATCCTTACAAACATCAGGGCACATCTGCTCAGCCCCTTTTTGCTCTCAGGAGCACATTTGTCCCCGCAGAGCTGCTTAAAAAGGGTGAACTCCTCTCATCACAAATGGTCTCAGAATCCCAGAATGGTTTGGGCTGGAAGGGACCTTAAATCCCACGATTTGGCAGCCCCAGGGATCCTGGGCTGCTGTGCCCTGCCCTCCCCGTGCCCTCAGTGTGCATTTCCCTGGAGCTGTGCCAGCTGTGCCAGCGTTAGAGCTCTGCTCCACCCTGCAGCCTCCTCGGGGGTTTCTGTAGGGTCAGCTTCCAGCTGTGCTCCCCTGGAATTCTCCTGCTCTCCCTGTCTCCAGGAGCTTCCCCTGCCCTGGCTGGGCTGGGCTGGGATGGAGGGAAAGGGATTGGGAGCCCTGAGCTGGATAAATCCCAGGCTGGGCTGGGATGGGATGGAGGGAAAGGGATTGGGAGCCCTGAGCTGGATAAATCCCAGGCTGGGATGGGATGGAAGAAGAAGGATTGGGAGCCCTGAGCTGGATAAATCCCAGGCTGGGCTGGGATGGAAGAAGAAGGATTGGGAGCCCTGAGCTGGATAAATCCCGTGCTGGCCGCAGCGCAGTCGGGGACACCCCTCGGGGTGCAGGGGGCTGTGCCCGCAGTGATCCCATATTTACGGGGGGGTTTATTGTATTTTCTTACAGATATTTTCTCTCAGATCTCAGATTCCAACGGGCTGCTGGTTTTCCCCAAGTTTGAGCAGTTCCTGCGGGAGGTGCTGAAGCTGCCCACGGCCGTGTTCGAGGGGCCCTCCTTCGGCTACACGGAGCACTCGGTGCGCACCTGCTTCCCCCAGCAGGTACGGGGCGGGACTGCGACTGGGATTTGGGGATTGGGGTCGGGATTTGGGGAATTGGGGTCGGGGATTTGGGGTCTGGGGTTGGGGATTGGGATTTGGGGTCAGGGATTTGGGGTCTGGGATTTGGGGTCAGGGATTTGGGGTCTGGGATTTGGGGTCAGGGATTTGGGGTCTGGGATTTGGGGTCAGGGATTTGGGGTCTGGGATTTGGGGTCAGGGATTTGGGGTCTGGGATTTGGGGTCAGGGATTTGGGGTCTGGGATTTGGGGTCAGGGATTTGGGGTCTGGGATTTGGGGTCAGGGATTTGGGGTCTGGGATTTGGGGTCAGGGATTTGGGGTCTGGGATTTGGGGTCAGGGATTTGGGGTCTGGGATTTGGGGTCAGGGATTTGGGGTCTGGGATTTGGGGTCAGGGATTTGGGGTCTGGGATTTGGGGTCAGGGATTTGGGGTCTGGGATTTGGGGTCAGGGATTTGGGGTCTGGGATTTGGGGTCAGGGATTTGGGGTCTGGGATTTGGGGTCAGGGATTTGGGGTCTGGGATTTGGGGTCAGGGATTTGGGGTCTGGGATTTGGGGTCAGGGATTTGGGGTCTGGGATTTGGGGTCAGGGATTTGGGGTCTGGGATTTGGGGTCAGGGATTTGGGGTCTGGGGTTGGGGATTGGGATTTGGGGTCGGGGATTTGGGGTCGGGGATTTGGGATCGGGGATTTGGGGTCAGGGATTTGGGGTCTGGGATTTGGGATCGGGGATTTGGGGTCAGGGATTTGAGGTCTGGGATTTGTGATTTGGGGTCTGGGACTGGGGATCAGGGATTCAGGATTGGGGGTCTGGGATTGGGAGTGTGGGATTTGGGGTGTGGGATTTGGGGATCAGAGGCTTGGGGATCCGGGATATGGGGATCGGGGATCTGGGATTGGGGTCTGGGATTTGGAATCAGGGATTTGGGGTCTGGGATCAGGGATTGGGGTCTGGGATTGGGGATTTAGGATCTGGGATTTGGGATTTGGGGTCTGGGGATTCTGGATTTGTGATTTAGGATTCAGGATTTGCAATCAGGGATCGGGGGTCTGGGATCAGGTATTGGGGATCTGGGATTGGAGATCTGGGATTGGGGATTGGAGAGCAGCAATCTGGGATCAGGGATTATGGATCTGGGATTAGAGATCAGGGATTTGGGGTTTAGGATTCAGGATTTGCAATCAGGGATCGGGAACTGGGGATCTAGGATCTAGGGTCTGGGGTTTGGGATCTGGGATTTGGGATTTGGAATTCGGGATTTGGGATTCCCGGGGCATCGGGGCTGGGGGTCACTGGGGTCCCCTGTACAGCCCAAGCACTTTGAAACAGTCCAAAATTAGCAACTGAAGGATTTTCTGTCATTTCAGTTGATTCCCCTCCTCGAGGGGCCTCCCCTGTTCCCCATCACAACACCAGGGATGACTCATTTCTATCCCAAAACACAAACCATGCCATTTTTACTATTTCCCCTTGATTTTTCAGAGTTTTTTCACTGAGTTAAGACAATTAGTTTAACAAGTCACTTCCAGGGTCTGTTCAAAAGAAACACCTTCTGTGCACCAGTTTATTTTAAAATCCATTGCAGTTGTATTTTAATTGTTCCAATGATTTGTTTCTCGTTTGGGGTAATGTAAATAATAAAACTAATCCTTAAATCAACTGTAAACATGAACTTGATTGATCTTAGGCCTTCAATTAAATGTTTAGACTCTGGGCATGATGATGCTCCAGCAGAAACATTTCTGCAGCATTTGATGTAAAATTTATAGTGACTAAATAGAAGTTAATTAGCAATTAGCATATTTGGAATATGGCACAGTAGGAAACAGCCTTTGATTTCAGAATCAGTGAGGCTCCAGATTTACATCTGATCTTGGGAATTGGGAATTGTTCCCTGGCAGGGTGGGCAGGCCCTGGCACAGCTGGGGCTGCCCCTGGATCCCTGGCAGTGCCCAAGGCCAGGTTCTGCATTGGGACTTTAAAAAGTGTAAACTCCTCTCATCAAAAATGTTTTCAGAATCCCAGAGAGGTTTGGGTTGGGAGGGAGCTTAAATCCCACCCAGTGCCACCCCTGCCATGGCAGGGGCCCCGGCACTGGCCCAGGGTGTCCCAGTGCCCAGCCTGGCCTTGGGCACTGCCAGGGATGCAGGGGCAGTGGCAGTGTCCCTGCCATGGCAGGGGTGGCACTGGGTGATTTTTAAGATCCCTTCCCACCCCAGGCATTCCCTGATTCCATCACTGTGGCAGTCCAGGAGTATTCCTGGCAGGCACAAAGGGAGAAGTTGCCAGGCTGGAGAAGCCCTGGTGGTAGGAAATGCGTGTGTGGCTCTGCCCTCCAGCGCTGCCTGTGTTCTCCCTGCAGAAGAAGGTGATGCTGAACATGTTCCTGGACACGCTGATGGCTGACCCTCCTCCCCAGTGCCTTGTGTGGCTGCCCCTCATGCACAGACTGGCCCACGTTGAGAATGGTGAGTGCAACATTCACACAGGTGGGAGGGCTCTGTCCTTGCTCTGGGCCAGCACCTTGTGCCTTCATCAGTGCTGGCCCAGAGCATCCCAGAGCTGTCAATTTGGAATTCGGGATTTGGGATTCCCGGGGCATCGGGGCTGGGGGTCACTGGGGTCCCCTGTACAGCCCAAGCACTTTGAAACAGTCCATAATTAGCAACTGAAGGATTTTCTGTCATTTCAGTTGATTCCCCTCCTCGAGGGGCCTCCCCTGTTCCCCATCAGAACACCAGGGATGACTCATTTCTTTCCCAAAACACAAACCATGCCATTTTTACTATTTCCCCTTGATTTTTCAGAGTTTTTTCACTGAGTTAAGACAATTAGTTTAACAAGTCACTTCCAGGGTCTGTTCAAAAGAAACACCTTCTGTGCACCAGTTTATTTTAAAATCCATTGCAGTTGTATTTTAATTGTTCCAATGATTTGTTTCTCGTTTGGGGTAATGTAAATAATAAAACTAATCCTTAAATCAACTGTAAACATGAACTTGATTGATCTTAGGCCTTCAATTAAATGTTTAGACTCTGGGCATGATGATGCTCCAGCAGAAACATTTCTGCAGCATTTGATGTAAAATTTATAGTGACTAAATATAAGTTAATTAGCAATTAGCATATTTGGAATATGGCACAGTAGGAAACAGCCTTTGATTTCAGAATCAATGAGGCTCCAGATTTACATCTGATCTTGGGAATTGGGAATTGTTCCCTGGCAGGGTGGGCAGGCCCTGGCACAGCTGGGGCTGCCCCTGGATCCCTGGCAGTGCCCAAGGCCAGGTTCTGCATTGGGACTTTAAAAAGTGTAAACTCCTCTCATCAAAAATGTTTTCGAAATCCCAGAGAGGTTTGGGTTGGGAGGGAGCTTAAATCCCACCCAGTGCCACCCCTGCCATGGCAGGGACACTGCCACTGTCCCAGGGTGCTCCAGTGCCCAGCCTGGCCTTGGGCACTGCCAGGGATGCAGGGGCAGTGGCAGTGTCCCTGCCATGGCAGGGGTGGCACTGGGTGATTTTTAAGATCCCTTCCCACCCCAGGCATTCCCTGATCCCACAACTGTGGCAGTCCAGGAGTATTCCTGGCAGGCACAAAGGGAGAAGTTGCCAGGCTGGAGAAGCCCTGGTGGTAGGAAATGCGTGTGTGGCTCTGCCCTCCAGCGCTGCCTGTGTTCTCCCTGCAGAAGAAGGTGATGCTGAACATGTTCCTGGACACGCTGATGGCTGACCCTCCTCCCCAGTGCCTTGTGTGGCTGCCCCTCATGCACAGACTGGCCCACGTTGAGAATGGTGAGTGCAACATTCACACAGGTGGGAGGGCTCTGTCCTTGCTCTGGGCCAGCACCTTGTGCCTTCATCAGTGCTGGCCCAGAGCATCCCAGAGCTGTCAGAGCTGGGACTGGCTGGCTGTGAAAGCAGCAGCACTGCAAACCCCAGGGATTTTAGTTAGCGGAAGAAAAATGACATTTCGGAATGTTCCAGAGGCTGAGGGAGCTGGGAAGGGAATGGAGCCCCAGGAGAGGCTGAGGGAGCTGGGAAGGGGCTCAGCCTGGAGAAAAGGAGGCTCAGGGGGGACCTTGTGGCTCTGCACAACTCCCTGACAGGAGGGGACAGCCAGGGGGGGTCGGGCTGTGCTCCCAGGGAACAGGGACAGGACAAGGGGAAATGGCCTCAGGCTGGGCCAGGGCAGGCTCAGGGTGGACACCAGGAGGAATTTCCCCATGGAAAGGGTGCTCAGGCCTTGGCAGGGGCTGCCCAGGGAGGTTTGGAGTGCCCATCCCTGCAGGTGTCACCTGGATGTGGCACTGAGTGCCCTGGGCTGGGGACAAGGTGGGCATTGGGCACAGCTGCCACTCCATGGGCGGGGAGGGATTTCCCAGTCTCAGAGATCCTGGGGTTTTTAAGTTAATTTTGATGATGGCAATTTCCCAGGGTCAAGTCCTGTGGGAAATCATGCCCAGGAGGTGAGGAGGTGGATCTGGGTAAAATGTTGGTGAACTCCAGGGCAAAGGGGATCCTGGTTTGATCCAGGAGCAGGAGGGGACCAGCTGGGCTGCTCCCCTTCACTGGGGTCTTTCCTGTCCAAAGCTAAACTGTGGCCCTTGCAGAAAAATGAACACAAACAGAAATGACACCACAAGAAAAACCCCACAAACAAAATCCTAAACAAACCAACCCCACAAAAACCTAAACAAACAAAACCCATTAAAGAAAAACCCAGAAAATAAAAACCACAAACAAAAACCCAACTAAACAACCAAAAAACCCAAAGCAAGACAAGACAAAAAAAAAACCCTGCAGGTAACCAAAACAGCTGCTACCTCTTTTGTTCCCATCTTGCTGCTCCTTGATTTAATAATCCCTGATACTGGCTGTTCCAATTTTGTCCTTATCCATCACTGTGAGGCCATGCCCTGTGCAGGGCAGTGAGTGCTGTCCCTGTCCCTGTCCCTGTCCCTGTCCCTGCTGTGCCTCGTGCTCTCTGTTATCAGAGCTTTGTTATTCTTCCCCTCATCAGGAAATCAGGGTTTGGGTTATTATTCCTCCCCTCATCAGAAATCAGGGTTTGGGTTATTATTCCTTCCCTCATCAGGAAATCAGGGTTTGGGTTATTATTCCTTCCCTCATCAGGAAATCAGGGTTTGGGTTATTATTCCTTCCCTCATCAGGAAATCAGGGTTTGGGTTATTATTCCTTCCCTCATCAGGAAATCAGGGTTTGGGTTATTATTCCTTCCCTCATCAGGAAATCAGGGTTTGGGTTATTATTCCTTCCCTCCTCATCAGGAAATCAGGGTTTGGGTTATTATTCCTTCCCTCCTCATCAGGAAATCAGGGTTTGGGTTATTATTCCTCCCCTCATCAGGAAATCGGGGTTTGGGTTCTGTGCTGCCCCTGTGCCCTGTTATCAGCAGCAATCTCTGCTGCCTGCACGGAGCCAGGGAGGGGAAGGGACAGCTCTGACAAGGTGGGGGAGGACTTCTCATGGAGCCAGGCTGGGAGAATGGGAATGTTCACCTGGAGAAGAGAAGGATGCAGGGAGAGCTCAGAGCCCCTGGCAGGGCCTGGAGGGGCTCCAGGAGAGCTGCAGAGGGACTGGGGACAAGGCCTGCAGGGACAGGAGCCAGGGAATGGCTCCCACTGCCAGAGGGCAGGGCTGGATGGGAGATTGGGAATTGGGAATTGTTCCCTGGCAGGGTGGGCAGGCCCTGGTTCTGTTTTGTCCCTCATTTCAGGATGCATTTGCCATGGGGAGGTCTCATCTCCTTCCCCTCATGCTTACATTCCTCTTTGGTTTCTTCCCAAGGCTTCAGTGGAGCAGGATTGTCCATGGGAGGACAGGAAAGAAACATTTATTTTGGTTTATTTTGGCCCAGCCCTGATGGTGCTCTGCAGCTCAGACTGCTCTGAGTTCTCTGCATGCTCACACTCACTGGGGATTCCTCACTGGGAGCTGTGGAGGTGCAGGAGGAAGGGGCAAAGGGGGTTTGGACCAGGAATTGTCCTTTTTGAAGAGGTGACTCTGGGCCCCAGGGATCTCCTTCGGCACAATCCAGCCAAATCCTCCTGGTGTGGCTGCAGCTTTGTTGTAAGTTAATTAGCAATTAGTATATTTGGAATATGGCACAGTAGGAAACAGCCTTTGATTTCAGAATCAGTGAGGCTCCAGATTTACATCTGATCTTGGGAATGAGGAACTGTTCCCTGTGAGGGTGGGCAGCCCTGGCACAGGGTGCCCAGAGCAGCTGTGGCTGCCCCTGCATCCCTGGCAGTGCCCAAGGCCAGGCTGGACACTGGGACACCCTGGCACAGTGGACAGACAGACTCCCCCCTGAGCTCAGGACTTCCCTGGGGAGCTCTGAGTGTGCTCAGGAGGGAGACCTCTGCAGAAGGAAAACTGGGAGAACCTGTCAGCTGGAACTGCTGTGTCACCATCAGCTTCATCTGGGGGTTAATGGAACCAAAATTCCCTGCTCTGCCCTCAAAACCCTGCCCAGACCCCAAGTGCTGAAGGAGCTGGGGGGGGTCTGCAAGCTCCAGTGAAATGGGATGTTCCAGGTTTACCAAAAATTCATTTCCTTTGTTTTTCTGCCAGTCTTCCACCCCGTGGAGTGCTCGTACTGCCACTGTGAGAGCATGATGGGCTTCCGGTACCGGTGCCAGCAGTGCCACAACTACCAGCTGTGCCAGAACTGCTTCTGGAGGGGCCACGCCAGCGGCCCCCACAGCAACCAGCACCAGATGAAGGAGCACTCCTCCTGGGTAAGGGCTTCTCATGGGTAGGGCACTTCTCCTGGGTAAGGGTGCTGCTCTTGGGTAAGGGTTCTTCTCCTGG